ATCCGAGGGCTCCAACTACAACAAGGATTGTTGATGTTCCCAGTGCCACATTTTTGAGATTTCGATTTCAAGGTCCTTGTATTTTGACAGCTTTTTGAAGATCTTCAAAGGTACATTGCCATCTGCAGGGATTGCCATATGAATGAGGAAATTTTTTGTTTGCTTACGGTGTCTAATAATGATATTTGGGTGATTAGCCTTGATTGTTCTGTCTGTGTGTATTGTAAAGTCCCATAAAATTGTTGCAGGTTCTATCTCCGTAACCGGGTCTGGCTAGTGTTCATACCAATTTCTTTCAGTTTCCTTCCCGTAAAAGATTTTCCAGTGCAAATATTAGCCCACTCTGTCATGCCAGGTTTTATATTCAATGGATGCCAATACCGTGCAACCTGATACAAGATGATCAATTGTTTCTGGATATTTATCACAGAATCTGCATATTTTAGTGTGTGTGCTTGATAATTTCTATTTAATAAGCATTGGTCCTGTGCAGCAATGATAAAACCTTCGGTTTCAGCTTTTAACCCTGCAATACGTCGTCACTGATAGGTACGGGGTTTGCCTACATTAGCTTGTTTGGTACGGGCAAAATATTGAATGTGAAATGTTTTTTCTTGCCATCGTTTCTATATCTGATCGGTTGCATTTGCTTTTGCTTTCTTTTTTGAGTATTTTGCAGATTCAGTCGGTGTATTGTGTTTTACTTGTATTTCTACACTTATTTGAACCTCCATTTTGAAATTGTTGCCTTCCTTTATTACTGAATAAAGTTTCTTACTTCTTTCATGTTCTTTGACACAGATCATGATCCAGTCTTCTGTAGTTTCCAAATATCTTTGAATGCCAATTGTTGTAGTTTTGTAAGACAGTTCTAGTTGAACTTATCCTTCTGCCTCCTTCGGATCTTGGCTAATGCAGACGATCAACATCAGCTTTGGGATGATGCATGCGGTAGCAAGTGAGATGCTTTTTCGTTTTGGCCTCCATTCGTTTAATGTCAGCTATGGAGAAGTTAAGGATGTTAAAACTGTATTGCACCACAAGGACAGCCAAGGTGTTTATGGCTGATATTTTGTTTTTTGAATTCAGCTCGTCATCCAGTACCAGACTTACACGCCTGTAGTAACCCTTTCTTACATTATCCTTCATTTTGGTTTGCTGTATACCATCTCCTTTGCTAATTCCTAGGTACGTATAAGCTTCATCTTGTTCCAGTTCTCTAATCTTCGTGACAAAGTCTAAATCTATTGAGGGTTTTTCTGTAATTCTCCCTTTCTTTAATGTTACTTTTGCACATTTATCTAATCCGAAATCCATACCTATGTCGTCACTGAAGCATTTTACAATATTAAGGGGACCCTTGAACGCATTGTCGTCTTTGGCAAAGAGTTAATCCATGAGATTATCCATGTAGAGTAGTTTAGTTTGTAACCATAGTTATTGTTGTTTAGTTCATGCGTAAGGGGGGTTAAGAACAAACAAAACAGAATGGGTGACAGGGAGCCTTTTTGAAAGATCCCATGTCGAATAATCAGACGGTTGGAGATGGCAATTGCCTCTTGTGTGATTTAGGTATAATGTGGTGTTCCACATTCACATTCTGTGCTTAAGGAAATTTACTACCACGGGGGAGACTTTGTACATTTCCAAAGCCTTAAGGATCCAAGAGTGTGGCACACTATCAAAGGCTTTATGATAATCAATCGACGCTACGCTAAGATTTCCACAACGTCTCATTGCAAATTTCCAGGATCATTTTGTTTATCCGTAGTTGATCTTTGCAGCCATATGAAACTCTCCTGCATCCCTTCTGTTCCAGTGAAAGAATGTTGTTTGCTTCGAAAATAGAGTATGTACGGTTCACCAGGATAGACGTGATCAACTTATATGTGGTTTATTATTATTATTATTATTATTATTATTATTATATTTCCTTTGATTTCTGGTGTATACACATTTCTTTCCTAGTTCCGCCCAGAGACCTAAGGTAAGAAATGTCATCATGATATTTTCCACCTAGCAATTAAAAAAACATATTTTACATAGATAAAGCCCTTCGTAAGGTGTGGGCTGTATTCGTGAAAAAAGTTTTTTGTATTTCTTTAAGACATGGGCCACCAGTAATCCCTTCAATGAGTCTATTGGAATCTTTTCCAATCAGTCCGAGGGCTCCAACTACAGATGGAGTTATCGATATCCTCCAGTTATATTATTATTATTATTATTTGCTTTGGTTTCTGGTTTATACTCATTTCTTTCCAGGTCCCAACCAAAGACCTAAGGTCAGAAATAGCATCAGGACATTTTCCACTAAGAATTCTTTGAGAAAAAAAAAAAGAAAAAAAAAAGAAGATCACATTTTACATAGATAAAGCTCTTCGTTATGAGTGAGCTGTACTTGTGGGTATAATTCTTTTGTATTTCTTTAAGGCTTGGGCTATCAGGAATCCCTTCAATGAGTCTATCGGAATCTTTTCCAAACAAAATCGAGGGCTCCAACTACAAATGGAATTTTTGATATCCTCCAGTTGTATTATTATTATTATTGTTGTTGTTGTTTCGTCCATTTTCATGTTCACATAAGCTGTTTGTTAGCTATAGCTAAAGACTGAGTAAAAACAAGTATATTAATATCTCCAGTACCTTTCTCAGTAATTTTAGGGAACCCAGCATTGCCAGTATATGGACAGCCTTTATTATTATTATTATTATTATTATTATTATGATTATTATCGAAATCATCGAATCAGGCAGGTAACTGACTTACATACACATTTACCGAAAATCATGTGAGTCAAATCCTTACCTGATTTCGATGCTACTCCCATAATGATATGCCACTGAACAAAATCCATCTTTCAGAAGAGAAGGCAGAAGAGTTTGGTTTGTTTAAATTTGCTTAACGGCATATCAACACGTCTATGGGTCGAAATCTAGATATTTTGTACGCAATTTTATGCTTTCAACTACAGATATTTTGTACAAAATTTTATACTTTCTACGTAAAATTATGTTTTATTTTTTTTTTAGATATATCGTTTGTAGGATATGATATGAATTGATATAATAAAAGAGTTCTTTCATGTTTGTTGGCTGGTTGATTTTGTTCAGCGACATATCAATCTCTATGGGTTATTTAATGAACTTTGAACGTAATATTAAGGATGTAACTACAGAAAAAACGTATTGTTGTTAATCTTACAATAAATCCGTATTGGTGGTAATTTCACTAGAAATATGTATTGCTGGTCATGTTTATATTTTAAAATGGATTGCTGTTATCTTTAGTATAAAATGTATTTTTATACTTTCATAGGATTTGGTTTTTATTTGGGGATTCACTATTTACCCATAGATGGGACCCTAACGCCGAAGAGCAGAGTCTCGTTCGGGGAGGTTGACCAACCCGATCCTGTTTATACGGGTTCTACGGGCATTTTTTGGCCGAGCCAACAGGCTCGGAGAACCTACGTTAAACTCGGCCTTGTGCCACATGCAACCCTCGTGGTGGGTGGCTAGATACCGTATCCAGTCGAGCCGATAGTAGTTCACTCCAATCCAGACAGGCAGTCATACTAACACCTTCCACATCTTGTATTATTATTTCGTGTAATATACCTTCGTTATTTCTACTCTTGGGAGGGGTGGCTAGATACCGAATCGAGCCGAGCTTCTCGGCTTGACGGTCGAACTCTCTGCCTCTGAGCACATAGGAACCCGGACGAGGCTCCGCTGAAGGGCAGAGTTTCGTTCGGGGAGGTTGACCAATCCAATCCCGTTTATACGGGTTTTTGGCAGAGCCTAAGGGCTCGGGAAACCCACGTTGAACTCGGCCTTGTGCCACATGCAACCCTCGTGGGTGGGGAGTGGCTAGATACCGAATCGGGGTCGAGCCGATAGTAGTTCTGTAGCAAATGAGTCGACTTCAACAGTGTAAGGGACGCAACTCTTTCCGTCTGAAAATGTCTGACACGCTGCAACGCAAAGCCGTGTACACCGAACACGGGTGTAATGCCGTTCTGCCAATTTCTCCAAGCAATCTGCTTTTATGGAGCCCAGACACACCTCATTAGCATGTGTGTAACGCGACTTTGCGTGACTGCACGAGACCGTGAATATTAAAAGTCATGGACGCCATCTTGGATCTTTTCTTTCCTTTCTCAACCCACAGGCCAGGCAGACGCGAGGGCGTTTGTGAGGTAAACCATTTCTATTTTCCCCACAAGTTCACTCCAAACCAGACAGTCAGTCATACTAACACCTTCCACATCTTGTATTATTATTTCGTGTAATATACCTTCGTTATTTCTACTCTTGCGTTCGTGTTGTTCTTCCTTGGTCCTATCCTGGACCATAACAATGAACATAGTTTGCTTCTATGTAGCTATTAAAAATTAAAAAAAACTCCGCAGCAATAGCGATATAATAGCGTAAGGCTAGCAACGTTTCCTCTGTAGGATAAAGGATTATTGGAGGAGAATAATTCATCACTCATAAGGCCGTGTCTGAGCTTTTGAACTCTGTCAAGGCTGGACAGTGAGGACTGAGCAGCACCAGCCCAGATAGGCCAGCAACGCGATACAAGGAACTGGCCATATTTACAGCATCTTTAACGATGGCACGAATATACGCGTTTCAATTGAGATAGGGCGTGAACCTGGGCCCCGATAGACAAGCAGCTTCTTTAACGGTAAAGCCGAACCTCAGGATTAGTGCAGGATTAAAAACAATCTGCACTTGATTGCTTTGTGCATTTAACTGAGAACTGTGCCACTGCTGATGAATACACACACACACACACACACACACACACACACACACACACATATATATATATATATATATATATATATATATATATGGAGGGGCGGGGTGTTCAGTTATCTCATCTCTATTTTCGCGGAATTAGGTCAAGTCTTCAGGAAACTTGATTGTAAAAATCAAGCCTCTTCTAAAATGTCTTAATTTCTGTGAAACACAGAGTAGATGCTAAACACATTAATATTTATAATATTTATTTATTTTATTTATATATATATATATATATATATATATATATATATATATATATATATATATATATATATTATTAATGATTTATATTTCTTGGTATCGAGTATTATAATTAACTTTAGCTTTATAAACGTTATATTCCAGAAATGTCACGGGAGACATTTTCTTAATGAAATACGATCTTTCTTCTTGTTACATAGTGTTGAAACTTGACTAATGCATGGAATAATAATGCAACACAAAATGTACTTAGAACAAAATGTATTGAAACAAGAAAGTGTACACAATATTTACATATAGTCTTTTGTATATTCCTGGTAAGACCGTTCCTGGAGAATGTGTTGACTGAGTCGCAGTCGGGCAGAGTCTCTGGTTGAATCTCTTGATTCCTCCCCCCGTCTTCCCGGTACCAACCATATTTGTATGGTCGGTACTCCACTATGCAAATTAGGTGGATCCTACCACAGCACATAGATAGATAGATAGATAGATAGATAGATAGATAGATAGATAGATAGATAGATAGATAGATAGAAACAGAATGGTATAGATAGATAGATAGATAGATAGATATGAACAGAATGAAATAGATAGATAGATTTATACGAAAAGAAGGAGATAGATAGATAGATATGAACAGAAAGGTATAGACAGATATGAACAGAATAGGATGGATAGACATGAGCAAAATAGTATAAATAGATAGATAGATATGAACAGAATAGCTAGCTAGCTAGCTGTCTAGATAGATAGGTAAATAGACAGATAGGTAGATTGATATGAACAGAATGGGATAGATAGTCATGGACAGGACAGAACAGAACAGAATAGATAGATAGATAGATAGATGTGAAAAGAATGAAATAGATAGATAGGCAGATTTATATGAAAAGAAGGGGATAGATAGATAGCTATGAACAGAAAGGTATAGACAGATATGAACAGAATGGGATAGATAGACATGATCAGAATAGTATAGATAGATTGATAGATAGATAGTCATGAACAGAATAGTAAATATAGATAGATACATAGATATGAAGATAATGGTATAGATAGACATGAAGAGAATAGATAGATGGGTAGATATATAGATATGAAGAGAAAGGGATAGATAGACATGAACAGAATAGATAGATAGATAGGCAGATATATAGATAGGAAGAGAATGGGATAGATAGATAGATAGATAGATAGATATATAGATAGATAGATATGAAGAGAACGGGATAGATAGATAGATAGATAGATAGATAGATAGATAGATAGATAGAAAGGGAAGGTTTGAAAAGGACAAATATTTGTTGAACGAGATGGAAATACGAAGCAATAAACAAAAACTTCAAACAAATATCCATCCCCTACCTACCAACTTCGTTAAATAAAACGAAAAATAAATCAAAGAAAAATTCAGACAAACAGAACGGCCATCTTGCATGTACATGGGGCCAGCCAATGGCAGACATATTTCTCTTTCAATGAAAGCGAGCGACATCTGTTGGTTGCTTAGGAGGAGAAGCCGCAGGTTCGATGCGAATTCACAGACTCCACTGAACAAAGAGGGTGGTTCCAAGAAAGTTTGTTCAAAGTCAAAAGGAATGTCATCTGAACAAACTATTGGTCAGAAGATCATTTGCTCCTTTCGCCATTTGTTTTTTTTTATTTTTATTCACTGATGGTCGATTGAACCGCCATCTTATAAGTCAATGTTTTATTCATTTCTTTGTATTTCTTTTCTAGCTCAGAACCCCTCCCCTGCACACACACACACACACACACACACACATATATATATATATATATATATATATATATATATATATATATATATATATATATATATATATATTTTATATTTTCTGAGCTAGAAAAGAAATACAAAAGAAATATATATATAAAAATGCAGGCACATAGAAAAAGTAAATACACATACGCACCTGCAAAATACACACAAACCCAATGAATTACTCACAAATATACACACATGCTTAAAACAGGTAACTTCAAGCAGATTCAAATACACAACTGATATATATATATATATAGATATATATATATATAGTGAGAGAGAGAGAGAGAGAAAGAGTGATTTTCTAAGCGTAGCTTAGATGTGGAACAAGGCCGAAAGTATGTGGCACCCAATGAGGATAGAATTCATTATTCAGTCGTAATTGATCTTACAAGAGAAACTTGCTAACCGCTACACCGCGTCGAAGTGCCCTATATACTATATGTGATAAAAATAAATATAATATCATATATATATATATATATATATATATATATATATATATATATATATATATATATAATTTAAAAAAAAAACAGATTAATTTAAGGCTCCATTAGTTATAATTTATTTCACCAGAGAATTTTATTTTTCTCTGGATCTTTGAACTTCACTTTCAAAAGGTGAAACGAAAAAGGAAGTCTGTAGATCAGAAGAAAATAAAATTCTTTGGTGAAATAAATTATATCAAATGGAGC